CCCGCCGCCGCCGCATTGTCGTTGCCCGCCCCCAGCAGCGGCTGCGACGGGAGAGCAGACGCACCGCCGCTACCGCCCTCGGCGCGCCCAACCGGCTCACCGCCACCAGGGCTCGTCGCAGATCCCGTGCCATTGCCGGGGGCGATGCCACCAGACGCGCGCCACGTCGTGAATTTAATCGACGCATTACGCCCACTGTCATTATGGTTACTGTAATTATTGCTAGTGCTATTATTTTTTTTGGCGTAGTTTGCGCTGGTGGGCGTCATGGTGCTGGCGCCATCAAACGGATCCGCTTGCTGCCGCCAGTTGTGCTCGCGGTGCTGTTGGTGTCGCGATGATGTGACGAGCCCACCACCACTATTCCGACCGCTCCTGTAGTAGTACGGCTTCGCATGGATGCTAATCCCCGAGCTCACCAACGACGAGGACGATACAGACGTCGGTGCAGGACCTACAGCACGCTGAGAAATACCAAAGTCGCTGCGGGCGCCCTCAGATCCCCACCGCTGCTGCAGCGGCGGCGCTTGTTCTTGTTGTTGCTGCTGCTGCTGCTGCTGCAGTCCATTACTAACGGACTCACCACCCAGTGCGGGTACCGTCACCAACGTCGCGTTGCTGCTGTTCATTACACCACTCTGCAGAGGCGCACTGAGGAACGACGGCAGGATCACCTGATCTGCCCTGACATACCCACTCTTGCTGTGGCTATCGAGTGGGTAGTGTGGCGGGAGCCCTTCAAGGTGGGCATTCTTTCCATTGCTTCCAGGCATGCTAATCTGATTCTTAGCGGCGCNAGTGTGGCGGGAGCCCTTCAAGGTGGGCATTCTTTCCATTGCTTCCAGGCATGCTAATCTGATTCTTAGCGGCGCGCGACAAGTCGTCACGTCTCTGCGCCGCCACTTTCTCCTCGAAGTGCAACTTCCACGGCCGCAGGTGCTCCAACCAGAAGCGACGTTGCAGACTCTTCCGTGTTGACTTGTCTACGACGTCAGAGACATCAGGAGCAGCAGTGCTAGTGCCAGCTCCAGTGGTTTCATGCAGCAGGCGCAGCAGCAGTGACTCAAAGGTTTCATACTCCTTCTCATCGATCCACATGTTCCACCCTAGCTGAATGCAAAAGACGACCTCGAGCTTATTTATCTCAGCATTACCGATACCGCCAAGGCAACTGTAGTACGCGTTGCTGTAGTACATGTCCTCCCGCATCTTCGCCCCGAGAAGCGCACTGGTGATCAGGAGGCGGTGCAAGTTGTAGATGCTCACTGGGTGGCCGACAATGTAAGAGTACTTTATGAGCATCATCAGACTTATAATGAGCGTCTCCCCACTGAGGCCGCTGTACCGTGCAATGCGGTCCACGTAGCACTCCACCGACATTTGTGGAAGTGTGTGGGAATGAAAAGAGGATGTAAGCAGAGGCTCNTGTACCGTGCAATGCGGTCCACGTAGCACTCCACCGACATTTGTGGAAGTGTGTGGGAATGAAAAGAGGATGTAAGCAGAGGCTCCGCCTTGTTGTCTTCACACAGGTTTTCCAGGAATATTTTTATGGCTTCTCGCGCTTTCACCACATCCATCTCCCGTCTGACAGGCTCACTGAGGATGGCCCCCGTACAGCTATGCGCAGATGCCTCCTCATGGTCACTAACAGTGCTGTTTTTGTGCAGCTGTTGCCCATCGCACGCGTCTGTCCTACAGGAACTATTCCCATTACCAGAGAGACGGGTCGTTTTCTGAGAGGAAGCAGTGTGTTCGTGTAGCTCTGGCTCTTGATCATTGTCCCCCTTTTGGTGCGCACCATCCGCTTCCGCCGCCGCCGCCGTCGTCGCTGGCGTTACTGTTGTGTCTGGTGTGGGCACCTCATTTGATGAAGTAGTACGAATCATACTTTCCTCATCGGCGTCACCGCTGTCTACTACATCACCAACTCCACCTTCACCTGCTGCATTATCTGCACCCGACACCGTAGTCACGACAACCCCGGCCGATGTAATGCCCCAAGTGTCATTTTTCGCGTAACTTTGACTACCGCTATAGTTATGGGCTGACGTGGTGTAGGGATGTGCTGCAGCAAAGACTCCAGTCAAGTTGTTGTTGCTGTTTATGCCGCTGACTTCTTTCCTGGAGGGGGGCGTTGGTGTCACAGCAGTGGCACCGGAAAGAGAGGCCGACGCCATGTGGGCAGGACTCGTTGAATTTTCAGGCGGCCGTGGCGCGCCAGGGAATGCAAAGGTGGAGCTTTCGCAAGATATCATGAAAATATATATATATATA